TCCTCATTGTTCGCCCTGCTGCTAGAAGCAGATATCTTAATTTTGGAAAACTGACCACCCAAAGAAAGAAGTGTTGAAAACCCCTTGTGCTGGTACTCTGAGCACCTGCTTCCTGCCCTTGGCTCTCTGAGTCTGTTTCTCTATCTCTAATCAGTCGTTATAGTAAGCGGTCTTTAACAAGCATCAGTTACCTGAAGAAATGAGTGGCAGATGAAAGGAGCAGCACATTTCCCTTTTTAATAAGCCCCTTCTGATACCAACAAACTGTCCCCCAAATGCCCAAATCAGAGGAGTTTATTTTATAAATCATGCGAAGTAAGCCTTATTTAAGATATATGAGTTGATTTCTTGGTATGTGGTTTGAAGCAACTGCTTTCTCAAAGCAGTCTGGATGTCTTGTTATACTTTAATTAAAATACTGGTCAATTTCAAGCTGGCTACCCAGAGTCATGCCCCTTCCAGTTCCTTGCACTTTCCATTATGTTGCTTTGCCATAACTGGGAAATTTCCTCCCAAATTACCCCTTCTTATGTGAACTGAAGATATGAAACTATGGCCAAAGGTCAGTGTAGTTGTCCATGATTTCATTACAATGTAGGCTGTGGTAAAACTCACACTCAATAATAAAAGAATAAAAAGGTGAAAAGGCCTTTTGAGAGTACCTAGTTTCAAGCAGACAATTTGACATCTAGAGAGGGAGAGGGACTTGCTCAGCATTACAGAGATGCAATGTTAGAGCTGATTCTGGACACCCAGGCCTCCATAAGGGAGCTCTTTCCACTGCCCCATATTGCCTGTCCATTGCCTCTGTTGCTCAGAGACTTGAAAGCCAGGTACTTTTCAGTCTTTTTATTCCCCAGGCTGGCTTCGCTATTCTTTGAGGTGAAAAACTTCATTCAGTTGTCATGAAAGCACAAGGCCAAGTGCAAAGCAATGCAAGAAGCAGGCAGCTATGGACTCAATCTTTGTGATCACTCTTACTATACCAGATCAGCATTATCCGCCAGTTTTGGTCTTTGTCTTACCAAAAGGATTTCTCAACCTGCTGCTTTGCTGTCTCAAATGCCTTACATCACTGTTTCTCAAACTTGAATGTGCAGAGGAATCTCTTGGGGATCTTGTTAAAACAGATTCTGGTTCCAGATGTGGGTCCTAAGAATCTGCATTTCTAACACACTCCCAGGTAATGCTGATGCTGAGGCTAATGATGGACCACATTTTGAGTTGTAAGACTTGCAGATGTTTTCATCAATCCTATTTCTTCTATGCATCTTATCCATTCACTTTTAGGATTCCTTTTCTTTACTGCTGGGGGCAGTGTGGTGTATTAGAAACAGACAGACCTCTGTAATTTCCAGTCCTAGAGTTTTATAAACCACTTACTGTGTAATCCTGGGCAAACCATTTCTCCTCTTCTGGAGCCTCTAGTTTCCTTATCTGTAAGATTGGTCTGTCACCTATCACACAGAGATGTTGTGAGGCCTGAGGGAACTACAAGGTTGAGGTTCAAAGTAGACCACAGAACGAGACTCCTAGGTCCAAAAGAATTCTGTGCCTAGGTTTCCTTAAATTAGTAGAAGCCAACACAAGTGGTAGGTAGGGGCTGCAAGCACCATCATTCCTGATATACTCAAAGATTGTTTCCATGACAAAACTGCAGACGGAAGCCTTTTATACTAGACAGTCTGTATACTTTATTGAAAGTCATATGAATGGGCCCTAGAAGCTCACTCTTTATTTTGATGTCACATATGTATTTCCCACAGGCAATCCTTCTAGCCCTCTATTAATGTCCTTGGAATCAAGTGCTTCATTTCCCCAGGAAAAAGGTTTTTGTGTTTTTTTTCCATCAAAAATGTATCTTTAAACTATATTGCTTCTCTCTATAATTTTTTATTATCTCTGAAGCTTTTTCTGGGCTTGTAATATGTCAAGGCCACTTGTCTGTAGCTACTTTTAAAGTAATATAATTGATCTACATTCTCTCAAAAGCAATTTTTTCCCAGTCACAGAACTACTTCTTCCTTTACTACTTTATTTGTTCTAGTTATTACAGAATCAAAGAACTTCTTGAAAAGAGAAGACTTTCTCATGATAGCTAATTATTTAAGAAATACTTTGCATGACACTATTTTATTATTAAAATTGGATGCTGAGTTTTGCCCCTCAGTATTGGACACCACCCATTTTTTTAAGCAAAAACTTTACAAATAAAAGTCAATAATGTTTCTGTTTTCTAAATCATTTCTTGACTTTTGCTATCACCACAGAAAAACATTCTACAGATTTGGCCCCAAGGCATCAAGTACCTCAGAGGCACTGAGACATTTCCCACTTCTCAAACTACATATGTGGATGTTGTCAATCTCTTGGGCTGAACCTGCACATGCTACAGCATTCATAAAGTACAGAGACACATATAAGGACCTTTTATTCCCTTTGCAAAATGGTTAAGCCAAGGACTTAACAACTATCAACTACAAAACAAATCCTTCACTTCACAAGGTAAAATTAGATGATCCTTATAAAAAACATTACCAAAAAGGTAAGCTGAAGGTCAAGAGAAAGCCCAACTCAGGAATATCTTCTAGTCCAATTTTCATTCCCTTGTAAACTGGAACTGCATTCCTTCCCTTCCTCAAATGCCTGCCTTTTAATATTTTTGTTAGACAGGCAAGAGTCAAGAGTCATGCCAGTTCCAAATGTGGCCTCTGTACAAGCACCTATTTCAGTGTGGCAAAGGGAAAACAGCAGAGGTTACAAAGACAGAGAAGCCTGGACTCAAATCACAGTACTGTTATTTACTTTCTATATGCCCTTGAGCCAGTCACTTTAGCTCCCGGGACATTGTTCCTTTCTCTGTAAAATGAGGAGAATTGTTGTAAGGATGAAATGAGATAATGTCTATAAAGCACCTAGCACTTAGTATGTGCTTAGTAAATATTAACTTGCTATCACTGCCAGTTCATGAGTTTCATTTCACCCATTGCCAATTTCTCAAACCTGCTGGCCAAGGTATGATGTTAATGTCCTAATAGTTACCACCCTTTGATTATCACTCTCTACCCACAGGCTTTTCTAAATGACTACCTATCTATCAAGCCTAAGCCAGGCCAGTCTCATTCCATGACAGTTGCCTCACCACAGAAGCTTCTGCTCTTTAGTTCAGAGTGCCAAAGGGAGGCATGGTCATTCTTGGGCATTTAGGTGTAGCCCATTGCAGGAAGAGAGCTACCCAGGCACTGCTCCCTGACTTCCAACCAGACTAGTGGTCCCAACTCTCCAGGCTAGGCTCTTGATCTGTGTACCAGGCAACACAGCAATCTCATGGTCATTTTTCTGAAACATCTCTTCCACTGGGACTGCAGTGGCTCTGGCTCAATAATCTTCCAACGTTTGTATTGGTGATTGTGGTATTTTATCCCAAGAAAATCAGAGTCAAGCTATATCTCAGCCGGGCTCGGTGGCTCAGCCTGTAATCCCGTGCCTTTGGGAGGCTGAGGTGAGTGGATTGTCTGAGCCCATGGGTTCGAGACCCACCTAGGCAGGCGAGACCTCATCTCTACAATAAATCAAAAAATTAACCGGGCGTGGTAGCGCGCGCCTGTAGTTCCAGCTACTTGGAAGGCTGAGGCAGAAGGATCGCCGGATCCCAGCAGGTCGAGGCTGCGGTGGCTGGGAGCGGCCACTGCACTCCAGTCTAGGTGACAGAGTGAGACTCCAACTCAAAAAAAAAAACTATATCTCTACCATCTTCAAAGGTACTGAGGGTCCATTAGCTGCTGCTTCTCTAGCCAAAATCTGCACACCTGGCCTGCTTTAGTTAGTCACATAATAGGATAAAGCAGGGAGGCCACAGCTCTGAGATCAGAATGTCCTTCCCAGGTGAGGCCAGTAGGCCTCACAGATACTCCCTTTGGAGATAAGCAGCAGGTGAAATCATGGCCACTTGGCCCTCTTGCTGCTGGTTTCTTAACAACTTGGCCTTTGAGACGGAAGAGTGGAGAGAGTTCAATGTGGTTACCTGGGCATGCCTTGATTTAATTTAGAATGGCATCAAGTTCCACTCAATTACTTTCAAAAAGGTTCTCAGTATTCTTGGCCTACATGTTCCTAACTCACCAATAAAAAATGTTTGGAGTTGAGTCTTGAGAGTGACCACTGCCTTTTAGTAACACTGTTCCAAAGGCATCTCAGAGTTCATTTGGATATGTGTGTGAGAGAACGTGCATGCACTCTCTCTCTTTTTATCTCCTTACCTATGTTCTTCTCTTAGTACTACAATCAGTGTACTAACAGGGCCTTGCTAGAAGAGTGCAAGTAGGAAAGCCCTTTTGTTCACACTGGACCACATTATAATTAAATAGACACTAAAGATAGGCTACAGCCCAGGTATCTGCATAGAAACACAAGCATTAATGCTCTCTCCAGCAGCTTCTTTTCAACAAACAGGAATCAGAAATGTCTATTCCTCAGATGTCTACCTCACTACACCACTTTATTTTAGTTCCTTTCTAATGATTCAGAAGGAGACCAGAGTCTTATATCTCGAAGTTTTGTACTTGGTGGCAAATATGGGCTCAAGAAAGAGGGCAGAAACCAAACCCCTGAAACGACGGCTACTAAAGCCATCAGTCATAAGATCTTTTGCTAGTTAAGTACAGAGTAATGGAAAGAACCTTGCAGAGGAGCCCATGGACCTGGGATCTTGTCCTGGCATGGTCATAACTTGTCTTACCTGAGTTTCTGCACCTGTAAACTAGGCAGACTACATGATTTTGAAAAGCGCTTCCAATCAAATACTCTATGGGTTGCGAAATAATCTCTTATCTCAAGGGCTATGATTCTTAACTTTCTTTGGGTCACAGATCCATTTGAAATTCAGTAGAATGGTATAGACCATCTCCCCAGAAAAGGTGTATTGTAATGGAATTCTACATACCATCTTGGGGGCATCATGGAGTTCCCAAATCCATGGACAATGGGTCAAGAATTGCTTATTTCAGGAGATAAGAGAGTTTATCTGCAGAAGGCAAACATGAAGTAACAGTGACAGCTGCCTGGCCTTAATCCACCTTATACTTTTTCTAGCATTTGACCCCCAAATGGAACACCTACAGGACAAACACAGTCTGTCTTTTTAAAAAGAGTACTTTTTTGTTTTTTTCTTGATTGCTTGGAAAATAAATTGTTAGGAGAAAACAGGAGAAAGAATCATCCAAATAGACCTAGGTTTTGACATGCAAAACATGCTTTGCAGATTTGTTCTAAGCAGCTGTATCTAACAGTAGGAAGGCCACCTTCCTAAGTCCACATGGAGGGGTTATGACGGTATCACTCATGCTGTCTGGCTCCATAGAAGCAGACAAGTTCTTGGCAACATACTGCAGGGCCACAGCATCGACCTGGCACCAGTGTCCATATCCTCAGTGAGAAACATGTTAAGATTCCCCAAAGTTTGACAAACATTTCTACTCCCCTCCAACCAAAGTAAGCAATGGCCCAACTCCGGTGGCCTTTAGTTCTAGGTAAGACCTTGAAATCAGTCTTTAAGCTCCAAATCTTTCAGAGTTCGATGGCCTTTTGAGGAAGCAGAAGTTCGGGGAAGAGTTGAAAACCAGGCTCCGCTCCTCAACTCAGGTAAGTAGATATCTTGGTTTTAGCAGAGTCTGGCTTGAGGGAGTCCAGCTATTCACAGTGTTACAGAAACTCAAGATAAACCTTCTAAGAGGATGAAGACAGGATACAAAGGAGAAATAAACATGTGTCTAGGACATGTGCCCTTATTTTACAGCATTCCAGAGCCTGAACATGCAGGGCCTGGAAAGAGCTGCTCTTCAGCACAAAATGACTCCACACACAAGGGTTTGAAGAAGACCCTTTCAGAACCTGGAAAGGGCCCCCTGAGGCCAAGGCTTTTACAACCTGAAAGGGAAAGAAGAGAGTGACAAATTAGCTAAAAGTGGTCAAGTACTTAACAGCCACTGAGTGGTGGGGCCTCTCTTGGTAGGTAGCTAACCCTACAATTGGTAGCTCATCTTCTGAGCAACAGAGGCTCACTGGGAAAAGCCCTTACAACTCAGGTACCTTGAAACAGGCCTAAGATGGTGCTAAGATCAGGTCTGGAGACTGTGCCTTCAATTTCAACTCTAATTACCAAAAATTCTGTCTGGGGAAGCAGAAGCCTTATACTAGAACCTCTGAGATTATCCCCCTGCGTCATGTCCACTGACTTTATGGCCCTATAATAAACCCAAACTTCCTTTTACCCAGACCTCACCTCCACGGGGGCTGATAAGGAGAAGCTTATCTGTCTATGGACCTCTGAGGACTGGCAGTAATAGGAAAAAAAGAAGGCCAGGGACCACATGGAAAGCCAAGCTCCAGATATGTGGATCTCTTTTATGTGTATATCAGGTTACATCATGCCAGCAATCTGACAGTCAAGCAATCAGGACTCCTAGGTAGAGATAGGAATTTCCCTTACCCCTGAGTCTTAGAAAGTGACCTTAGAAAGTCACTTATTCCTTCTGAACTTCTGTTCCTTTGTTTATTGAGTTATATATAATTCTCCCTACTTCTGGCATGTGATGTGGATTGAATGAGATAATGGATGTGAAAATGATTTGCATCAGACAAATATAAAGGACTAAGGAGGAGGTTCAGTTGGGTAAGACTGAAATAGTGGCTTGGTGTGAAGGGATGAAACCCAGCTACAGAAACTTTTTTTTATAATCAATATTTTTTATTATGATATTGTGGGGTACAGTTAAAGGTTAGGTATACAAATATGCTTTGTTCAGGCACCCTTGTTGATAAGAGATGTCTCCCCATCCCCAGACAGATATTTACTACCGTTAATCCCATCTCCCTTCCCCTCTCCCCCCATAGTTTCCCACCACTGTCAGTCATTTTCTCATAGTATTATGTTGGGTGTTCAAGGTCCACTATATGAGTGAGAACATGTGACACTCAGATCTTTGTTTCTGTGAGGGATCACTCAGTATTATAGACTCTAGTTCCATCCAGGTTGCTGCAAAATTCATGATTTTGTTCTTTTTTATGGCTGCGTAGTATTCCATCATGTATATGTACCATATTTTTTAATCCAGTCCTCTTTTGATGGACAGCATGGTTGCTTCCAGGTTCTTGTTATTGTGAACAATGCTGTGATAAACATACGTGTGCAGGTATCTTTTTTATAGAGTGATTTGAGTTCTGCAGGGTATATTCCCAGTAGGGGGATTGTGGGGTCATATGGGAGGTCAATATTTAGCTACAGGTACTAAGATAGGCTCTTGGCACCTGTTATAGCAACAAAAGGGAGGCTACTGGTTTCCTTAAAGACCCAGAGGGCATCAAAGTTAGAAGGTCCTAACCTCATTTTACAAATTGGGAAACTGAGGCTCAGAGAAGAAAATGCACTACCTAAAATGTTACAGTCTACGTTTTCTAATACATTTTATTCAAAGGCAATCTGTAAAACTACACCACAGTTTGGCTGGCAGAGAAAGAAAGGAAAGAAACTGGTGACTTAAAATCACACAAAATCTTGGAATTGAAAGGCACTAAGTTTAAGTATCACCCAATCATAGAGCAATAAACTGAGATATGAAGATGAGTTCCCACCCTCTGGACCTACATGGTATTCCAGTCCTCAAACAATCACATCTCTTAGAGAAGGCTTATGTGGAACAAGATTCTGTAATCAGGGGTGGAGACTACATACCTGTGGCCTCAACTTTCATCTCCAGGAAGTCTGCCTTGAGAACTGTGGATAAAGAAAGACATTTCATTAAGATACTAAAAATTAGGACTGGAAAGGAAAGGCAAGGGGATAGAGGGCCCTTCCAGCCCAGTGTCAAAGAGACCATTTGAAAAATAGAAAAGTGATTCCGCCCAGATGTTTCAAAGCATCTAACTCCATGTTTATAGTTTGAGCTACTTCTCTGGCAGGTTTAGAGAGCCCATTGAACATCTCTACCTGGATGTGCCAAGGTGTCTTCAAAATCACTGTATCCAAAATTGAGCAACTTTCCCATAAAATCTGCTTTTCCATGATTCATTATTGTACCATCTATATAACTGCCCACATCAGACTTTTCTCTTTCTCAAGCCTTCTCCAATGTCCCATGTTTGAAAAGTCAGCAAGGTCTTACTGCGCCTATCTCAAATCTCTCTTTTTCTCTTCCACTCCCACTGGCAATGCCATAGGCCAGGGCTTCACAGGCTCCTGCCAGGACAGTTAGTCTCCCAACTGGTCTCCCTGCCTCCAGTCTTTACTCTACCATCTATCTTTCCCACTACCACCAGAGTGATCTTTCTATAACCCAGTCAGCTCAGAATATGCATTGTCATGCTTAAAATTCTTCCCCCCTTTCTGTGACTCCTCTGCCCACGAATTACAGTATAAATACCAAACACCTTGGTATGCCATATAAGAAAATGCACTGCCTAAAATGCATATAAGACCTTCACAATCTAGCACCAACCTATCTTCCTGGTCTTACTTTTCAGCTAATCTTTCCGCTTCTCATTCCCACATTCTAGCCACAATGGAACACTAATTACTTCTGAACCTGTCTTGAATAAGTTGTTCTCCCTCTCTGAAATGTCCTCCCTCCCTGCCTGATGAACAACTACTCATTTTCTTTTGAGTTATTTTTTTAAAAATTGCTACAGAAGGGAAATGAATGAAGGAGTGATGTCATTCAAATGGCAGGGTACAGTTAGGTATACAAATGGGAAGCAAAAAAAGGACAGGACTAAGGTTAAACAGATTGTCATTTTCACTAGGGGTGATAGAAGAGCTTGACAATAATAACCACAAATAGGACTGACTGTGTGACTTCGAGGATTTTGATCAGGGACCAGCATGGGGATGCACTGATACAAGTGGTGGTTATAAAGTGGATGTCTAAATGGAAGAGATGCTTTCCCTATGTAGATGCTGAATGGGAGGGGCCTGTGGGTACCTAGGATAGTGGCTCATGACATACTGGAGGGCAGGTACTCACTTGGATCTTACCTACACTCTTGCCAAGATGGAATCTAGGGATAAGAACAGGATTAAATATAGGTTTTAGAAGCCTGGCCATAGGGTATGTAGAGTGGTACCCCAGCCTGATGTGTCTGCTTTGGCCGCAGCTCCCATAGGTCCTTGAGCACTGGCTAACAAATCCCAGCCCACTGGGAATGGCTGCTAGTCTTCTCATGCTCTAAACAGTTTGGCTATAGCTTCCCTATTAGAAGTCGGCCTGTCTTAAGGATTCTATTGGACTTTGTTCAAGTCTCATGCATATTCTCTTCTCAATGCCTTGGTTCCCTATCTAAAGCTAAAGATCAATCCTATCACATTTTTCTGAGCACTTCTACTCATCTTTCAAGGCCTAGCTCAGATATCCCCTCCTCTAAAAAGTTTTCCTTTAGACACATCCAGTTGATTCTGTTCATTCCAGTTTACTTCATTCTACTTCCTTAGTATTTATTTCTCAAATGGTTTATCAAGGAAGGGAGGAAGAACTACAAGAAAGTAGTTCTGCTTATGGGTGGGTACTTTATCAGGACTATTAGGCACTTTCTCTCTCTCCTTCTCTTCTTTTTTTCTTTCCAAGGTAGACATTTGGTTACGCTTACTTTAAAAGCTTCCTAGGTAAAAGCTTTTACTTTTATGCTATCAGTAAGAGAAATCTGGGGCCTTGATCTCACTTTCATTTGTTATGGTAGAATAAATGGTAAATTATTGTCTAAGGATAATTTGGCCTAGCCTAAGGCTCATGACGGCTCACTGCCAAGAAGAGCTAGGATGACCTGCTATGCAGAATCATGTCCTGGTGAGTCAGGTCCCACAGTTTTGACTAGAGGATGTCAAATATACCCGAGCTCTACTACTGGGAAAGGTACTTTATTCTGCTTTTAACGGATCACCTAGAAGAGTTACACTCTTGTCACCTGTCAGGAAGCACAATTTCAAACTCTCTGATAAGCAACATGAAACAAACTCACAAAACCTTAAGGCTAAGGTGTTGGCCAGGTGTTCTAGTCCAAAGGATCCCAAATGCCAGGCCTTGGACAGCCTGTACCAGCACTTGAGAAGTTTTAATAACAAACAAATAGAAAAGAAGGAAGAAACAAGGGGAAGGAATGAGGGAGAGAACATGAGAAGGGAAAAAACAAAATAAATAAAGCAATCAGATTCCCAGGCCCCAATTTTGGAGATGTTGTTTTAATGGATCTAGAGTGAGAGCCAGAAATCTGTGATTTTATTTCCTCCAAGTTTTCCAGGCAATTTAGATGTGCATCCAGGTTGAGAACTGTTGCCTAAGCCTAATGTTTTTACCTTAAGCCATGCTTACCCTAAGGCTGCTCAGGTTAGAGTTTTGTACTCTACACACCCCATCAGCTGCCCTTATAGAATATAATGGGGTATAACTAAGTAAATTAATAAAAAATAAAACTTACATTGAGTATAATGTCTGAAATACTGCTTCAGATGTGTGTGTGTGTGTGTGTGTGTGTATACACAAGGATACATGTACATGTGTATTTATAAGAGAGGAAAAAAGAGAAAGAGGAGCAGAGAGAGATGGAGAAATGGAGAGGCAAAGAGACAACAGATATGGAGATAGACAAAGAGAGACACATGGAGAGAAAAACAGAAACAGAAAGAGTAACATGAAGAGAGAAACAGAAAGACAAAAAGAAACAGGGACATAGGCAGAGAAACAAAAAGAGAGACAGGAAGAGACTGAAAATCACAAAGACAGTGATAAAAAGTGTGAGGAAGACAAATAGAGACACAGGTGAGAGACAGAAAGAGACAGAGAGAAAAAACTGAGGGAGAGAAAGCATCAAAGATAGAGACAGACAGAACTGTAGAGAAACAAATAAAAACAGAGATTATAAGAGTGAGCACAGATGATACACACATGATACATTTATTAAAAAGTCACTTGGTTTTAGGCAAAGTCAGGACGAAGGGGAGACCCAAACTTCACCTGTACGATGACCACTTATGTACCTAATCCTGAATTGTACCTCACATCTTTAAAATAATAATTTTAAAAACTTTTAAAAGTCATTTGGTTTTTCTTTTGTCACTTGTGTTTCTTACCTTCCTGTTTTCCGGGAAGCTGTTTCAAAGAACTTGGTCCTAGAAGCCACCCTGCAAATAGAAGCCAATCAAGTCCCATAAGTTACTCTGGAATATTTGTGAGACCAATGAAAAGGACAGGAGACCCTGAACCAAACAGACCACTAATGCCAGGCCCTGCCTTTACTGACAAAGGACCTGGATCTCAGAAGTCCAAGTACCAAAATGTGAAATGACCCAGAGCCCATAGACACCTCCCAAGGTCATAGCTGACACCCTTTGGTCCCATAGGTTCAGAACATGTCTGAGTATGTTACCCATTAAGACTTTTCTTTGGGAAAAATAGGTAAAACCCAGTGCAACTGTTGGTATTTTATAAAACACTTAGCTAATTAGTATAAGCTATGGAGACTTTGTTTTTCTTTTTCCCCAATTTAACAATTATGGAAAACAAAAGACAAGAACAGGGAAGACCAAGCAGCAGTATATGGAGAGGGGTCCTAGTACTGAAGAGAGGACAGCCAGGCTAGTTGTGGCCAAGCAAGGCTGGTCCCTGAGCACTGCTATGGTCCCATCATAGCCACTCCTTCCCTGGTTTCTTGGTTTGTAGCCTAGCCTCAAAAGGAGGACCTATTGGACAACAACTCAGCTCCTACCCTACAAGAGGCTCTCTGGAGAACCTGAGTTATTTTGAAAGGTTTTTTTAAAAAAAATCATTGCCTATACTGTATTTTAAAAAAAGCCTTAAGGACAAGTATAATGAACAAATGTGTTCAATAAATTACTTTTAAAACCAGTAGCAGCCGGGTTCGGTGGCTCAGCCTGTAATCCCGCACCTTTGGGAGGCTGAGGTGAGTGGATTGCCTGAGCCCGCGGGTTCGAAACCCGCCTAGGCAGCAAGACCTCATCTCTACAATAAATAAAAAAATCAGCCGGGCGTGGTAGCGCATACCTGTAATTCCGGCTACTTGGAAGGCTGAGGTGGAAGGATCGCCAGAGCCCAGCAGGTCGAGGCTGCGGTGGCCGGGAGCGGCCACTGCACTCCAGTCTGGGCGACAGAGTGAGACTCCAACTCAAAACAACAACAACAACAACAACAACAACAACAAAAAACCAGTAGCAATAAGAAGAAAATTTTTAAAACTTTCCAGAGCCAAAAAAGCTAAAAAGAGAAGGTCATCAAATCACAGAGATCAGGGCAGCTAAGAAAAATGGGTCTCCTAGCAGGTACTAAGGTTCAAAGTTTTCACCTTTAAGGAAATCTTTCAGCCCTGAGTGTTGAATGGAACACTCCAAACAGGGCTGGCTTACGAGATTCCCCTAGACAATGAAGTGAATGATATCCCAGAATAGTGGTGATATATGGTGATCCTGAAAACATTCCTAGTGGCCTAGGACAGGGCTTAGGTCAAGTCTGAGGAACAACAATACTTACACAGATGATGGGATTTCCCCTGCATTGCAAGCCACAATATCTGGCTTTGGTTCTGGCTTCTGGGGAGTAGCTGCCCTGCAGGGAGGGTCTGGGGGCCTGACTGGGGGACGGATGATGGTTGGCTTTTCTCCTGGAGGCCGCATTTTGCTGAAACTGTCAGCATCCCCTGGAAAAGAGAACAACACCAGGAACTTGGATGGTTAGTCTAAAGGAACACTAGTCATAAGCAAGCACACAATATCAGAGTTACTTGGGCCACCTTCCTTGGCCCCCATTTCTTCTTGGTCACTAACAACTCTGGCTTGTTCTTTTGTAATTCTTCTGGTAGTTGTCCCTTCAGAAAGTCTATATTGAACCCCAGCTCTGGAACTTCAGATACCTTAGGTGTGTCATATCAGTTTCCTAAGTCTTGCTTTCCTCAACTATAGAATCAAGGTCAATAATACATTATCTTACAGGGATAGTGAGAGGATTAAATTAGGGACTAATATGTTTAGTACAGGGCCAGGCACATGGTAAGTGCTTATAAATTTAATTTGCTAACTTCACCATCACTCAAATCCAGATCTTTTTCACTTAGGCCTTGACTATCACTGCCGTAACCTAAATCACCTCCCTGTCTCCATGTCTCTAGTTTTCTGGTCAGTCAGTACAAAATAAATATAAATGCTTTTTAATAAGATGGTTCTGGTAGAACTATGGTGAAACTAGTACACTTGTACATTGCTGGTGGCATTGTGAACTGGCCTTATCCTCTCTAAATAGCCATCAAGCATTCTGAAACAACGTAGATGAAATGCAAAATTATACATATGAGACAGTTCATACTTGATTCAGTAATTCCACTTTGGAGAGCAGGCCGAAATAAATTAACCCAAGAGAGAAAAAAAACTTAAGAAAAAGCAATTGGCACAAAAACATGCATCTTAACAGCAAAACATCAGACTCGATCACAAAGGCTATACAAACAATTCAATTAATACAAGTATTTAACAGATACATATTATGCATGACCTGACAAAAATTTGGACCATGTCAAAACAAAGACATGCATATGAAATAATATCAAGTGAAAAAGTGCTCATGGCCTGATGAAGACCATACTGAAATTGATGTGCTCAGTGCTGCAAGAGTGTTAGGAGATCTTGAGATTCATTTGATTTTTGTTAGTAGGTGATAATATTCATTCTTTTTTTTCTACAAAAATGTTGACAGCAGATGTGAAAACATATTAAATTGAATCTAGGTAATCCTGCTGTAAAATTTACCTTCAGTGTTTTTTGTACTGTTTCCCCTCTTGTTAAAGACCTACCCAGCAATTCTAAAATGTGCAAGATAAAGTTCAAACTCCTTCACAGAAACTCTAGGCCCCTCTAGAATGAGCTAGTGCCAAATTACTGCCCCAGGCACTAATCTTGAAATTTAACCACCAGCTCTACTCTAGTCCAAAGGGTCTCCTCACTGCCCCATTAAAGCGAGCCTTAGACTCTTACTTCTAAGTGAGACACAGTTTGGAGTTATACAGATCCGGCCTTGGGGCCTTTTTCTATTACTTCCAAATTGTGAGACCCTGGACAGTTAACTTTACCTCTTTGATGATTAATTTCCTCAACTGGGAAGCGGGTGTTAACAACCTCTCCTCACAAGGTGACGTTAAGGACTAAATTAGATATCCTACAGACAGTGCCTAGCATATAGCAGGACAAGAAAGGGTCAGACTCTGCCCTGCTTCTTGCCCTATACTATGAGAATGTCCTTGTTTACATGTCTGATCTGTGCTGTAACCATTCCTCAAGACTCAGCTAAAATCTCACTCCTGTGAACACCCTAGCAGGTATATATAATTTCCACCCACATAAATATTCATGAAGTGCTTATATATTATCATGGAAGGTTTTTTTTAATTCATCTAGCCATTCTGGTAAGGGAGACATATATGAAAAGAGACAATGATAATATAGTGTGGTTAGTGGTCTAATGAAGGAATGAACAAAACACTATTCACATGCACACATTCAAATTCTCTCTCCCCATTTACTCTTATTCAGTATCTTACATTTCTGGACATGCCATTCCATCAGGCTGGGTATATAAAATTGCAGGGAAAAAAAGAAAGAAAGAAAATACCCAAAATGATAATAATTATCCAATTTTTCTAACACATTTTATACTGTTCAAAGTACTCTCCCAGATGATAACTGCTTGATGTTTACAATAAGTCTGGCAGGGAAGAATAGATAGTCCTTACTATTACCATCTGACAGAGAATGAAACTGAGTTTCAGAAAAATAAACTGACTTACCCACAACCATAAGGCTAGATAAATGACAGAGGATTTAAACCCATCGCGCATTTTCCCATCCACTACTTTCTCCATTGTCTGCTGTTTAGTTGTCATAATTAGTAATACAAAATTATAAATAATAATAATGATAATAAAAAATACTGGAAAAAATTTAGCTACCTTTTACTACACACTTGTTTCAGGCACTGTGACACCATGCTCAGTGCTTTATGTATATTTTCTAATTTAACACTGGTTACACTCTTGCAAGGTAGAAAGCATTTTCCCTGTTCTACAGTTGAGGAAACAGAGACTCAGAGATGAGAAGAAACCCCATGGTTGATCAGCAATAGATATAGGTCCATCTGATTTCAGAAATCTATGTAGTCCCAACTACTAGTAGTTTTCAGCCCTGGCAACACATTAGAACATCAAAAATCCTGGGGGGTGGGATCTGGGCATGGGTATTTTTTAAAGCTTCCTGGGTAATGCTATGTGCAGCCAGGGTTGAGGACCAGTAGGCCACACAAAGTTGTTTCCTCATTGCAGCCTACCGATTACCAGAACTGAAAGTGCTGTCCCATTTCTACTGGTTACTAGAGGAGGAATCTGACAGAAAAAATATGCTGGACTGTCAGAGCCAGAAAACATCTCTACCTGAAGTCATGTCCATCCCAGGACTATCACTTCCCTTGATGAGAAACTGATGACATCCTCAAAATATGAACTCCATTCATTCCCAAGTTACAAACACATCCAAATGACCTAGGACTTTGGAAAACAAATACCCTTAACTTTGTGTCCTCCTAGATACTCTACTGAGACACCCAAATGATGGCTCGTTACAGATCAAGCTTCAAACTAGCAGCAAAGGGTTTTCTTGGCTGAAAAACCCCAATGTTGTTTTCTCTTGCATCCAGTTTGTCTCAGTCACAGTTAAGCTACATGTCAAAGTGGTGAGGCAGAGAGGAAAGAGTAATGTAACTGGGAGTCAAGAAACCTGATTCAAATAACTTACTGTGTGACCTTTAGCATATCACTTCCTTACCAGTACAATTAAGCAGCCTGGACTGTTTTTCAGAGGAAGGCGTCTATGATATAAGTCTCTACACCTCTCTCTCTCCCTGTTGACTTTTATATGCTGTTTTTGGAGTACTCTAGAAGTCAGTTTTGATCATGTGCTTAACCATCTTTAAAAATCTCAATCTCTCTCCCTGAAACCTAAATTGAATGGTATTCAACATGGAGGTTTCTTGAGGGCTTTTGTTTCTAACCTTACGCTCTCACAAGGAATGTATGCAAATGATGTGACATAGACCCTGCCCTCCAGGAGTTTAAAACTGAATTGGAAAGAGAAATCATACTCATGAGAACAAGTGTGAAAACTATAACTAAGCATCTACATCAGAGGGCCAAACTTGGATGCCAAAAGAAGTGAAGTAAGGCAGAATTACCTGAAGCAGAGTTGTCAGAAGACTTCATGGACAGAATAAGACTTGAGCTGGACCCTGAGAGTTGGTCAAAAATCCTTCCATGTCCCTTCCTCTCAACAATGGCTCATTTCTTTCTGGGTGTTTGGCATAGTCAGAGTCAGGTCGAGGGTAGAAAACACAACTCTGAGCTCTTTTATGCCATCTACATTTTAGGTTTGAGGCTCCTCATAGGCTTCCCAATACAGAAGAGTAGATATCCCCAACTTCCATACCTGCCATTTCCTGAGAGGTTGTTACCTAGTGACAATATCACTTCTTAAACCTCTATTATACAACCAGATACTCTGTATACTTAATCAAACTTCATCTCTGAAAAAACCTTGCCTTCAATGGCAGTATTATCCCCACTTACAGTTGAGAAAACTGATTCAGAGAAGTAACTCTGACCTAACTAATATCATGTTGCTGAGAATAGACTCCCATAAAAGCAAAACAACTCCTACCATTTACTGAGTATCCGTGATGTGCTAGGCACATTGATGTCTCACTTTGTTGTTATAGTAATCCTATAGGCACAATTATTACCATCATTATACAAATGAGAAAACTAAGGCTCAGAGAGGTTGTGACTTGCCAAAGGTCCCACAGTTAAGAAAAGGCAGAGCCAGCTGGTTTCGGTGGCTCAGCCTGTAATCCCATGCCTTTGGGAGGCTGAGGTGAGTGAATTGTCTGAGCCCGCGGGTTCGAAACCTGCCTGGGCAGCGAGACCTCATCTCTACAATAAATCAAAAAAATCAGCCGGGCGTGGTAGTGCATGCCTGTAATTCGGCTACTCGGAAGGTTGAGGCAGAAGGATCGCCGGAGCCCAGGAGGTGAGGCTGCGGTGGCTGGGAGTGGCCACTGCACTCCAGTCTGGGCGACCAAGTGAGACTCCAACTCAAAAAAAAAGAAAAGGCAGAGCCAGAATTAAAGCTCACATCAGGGAGACTCTAGAGTTTGGGCTTTTAACCACTAAGCCTTTTGAGCCTATGGTCTTTCTAACAAATTGTACTTCCTTTTCAACTGTGGTTCACAATCTGGCTTGTACTACAAACTTGATCTCCCTTCTCTAGCCTAACCTGTTCCTTCCATCCCTATTCTCTATCAAATGGCCATAAACAAAGAATCTTACATTTGCAGATTTTGGGGGGACCTGATAGTCATCAGTCTTCAACCTTAAGCAACTTTCTTCCACCTTTCCTTATACCCACTTACACCCAACCTGAAGACACAGAGTAGGGGGAAGTTGTTTCCTCTTGTTTCCGAGAATTATCTCTTTCTTCCTGTGATACTCCTCCATGTTCACCTTCAAGCTTCCTTGCTTCCTTAGTCATTATTTATGCTTGTAAAGAAATCTGGAGTTAGGCTCCAAGAAAAACGAAGAATAAAAACAGTAGATTATTAAAGCAGAATGAGTCCAAACAAGAAAATGTGGATATTGGCCAGCAAAACCCATTACTGCAAGAGCAAGTCTGTTCCTAATACTTTTAGAGCAGATGAAAGTGCCACTCATAGCATTAGTCACCCAGTGGAGAATTGATGGCTCTGTGACAGGGCAAGGCCTTACAATCATCCTTCCTCCAAGTCCAAAAGTATGCCACCTATTGAAATCTTTTCTCTCCAGTCAAGACAGAGAAAGGAGCTAAGAAGAGCGCCTAAATCTATATGCCATAGTAAGCCCATGCTATAGGGTTCCAGTCCATAGTCTGCTCTCCACTTTTATCTCAATACCTCAAGTAGAATGAAGGGCCCCTTGCCCAATGCTCCCATTGGAACTTATTCTCACACCATTAGAACATGGATCACACTGGGCTGGAACTGGTTGCTTGCATATCAGCCTCAACCATGGACCTTTAGAAGTCAGGGACCATGGTCTTTCATCTTTTTTTCTCTCATTGCATAGCACTATGCCTGAATAAATAAGTAAATACATGTAAGTAAGTAGGATATATTCCTCCTCCTTCTTCATTCCCCCAAAGGAAAGTGTTAAGTCCCTCTGTGGAATCTACAGACCTGCTCTTTGCAAAACCAGGACTGGTAAGAGGTAGTAAAATTAAGGCGGAAAAATAGCCTTGTATAGTTTTGTGCCCTCCAAAGTAAGTTCTTAGAAAAATAGAAAAGGGAAGATGGCCAAAGCAACTAAAGAGATAGAATGTGGTATAAAGATAAAGAGTCCTAATCTTGGACCCAAGAAACCTAGGTTCAAGCCTCATTTCTACACCTTACAACCCGGGTGACTCTGAACAAGCTATTTCATGTCTGTGAACCTCTGTTTCTCCATCTGTGAAAAGGCGAGAGTAAAACCTACCTCATAGGCCTATCACAACGATTAGATGCAATAGAAGAAGGCTAAGTATCCCGCTCTATGACTGGAACAAAAAAGGATGCTTAACAAAATCCCGTCAGCAAACTATATTGAATCTATTATAACGCTGACTGTCATGGAAGAAAGACATTTAATATGCACTGTGCTTTTGCTAGTTTGAGTTGCTGAGAAAAAAAGGAAGAATGTTAAGTCCACTCAAATGTTGAGTTGATGCAAGGGGTAAAGATGAGGGAAGAACTATGGTACAACTGGGTCACTAAAGCAATGAAGACTGTGCATTGACCTTCAGATGGCAGGCAAAACCTCAAACAAGAGCCGAAATGGTGTGACAACTGCAAGGTGCAGAGTAGATCAGCTGAGGTGACAGCATCCTCCCTCTGATACTGCCATTGAGGCTGCTGGCCAGCACCAGGAGCTAACAACTATCAGTTACTGCTCAAGGTCAGAACTGTTTGCAGCTTTTGCTTAATTGATAACTCTTCTGATGCCTGGGAATCTACCACAGAACAGTAGCCAGAATGGGGAAAGAGGGAGGAAGAGGCAAGGGGGTACGATGGGTAAAGTTCACAGAGGTAACTGTACCAAAGATTTCTGCTTTCTGAAGCCAAGGTTGGAGGCATGGGGCTTTGAAAAAAAGCTGCATCATGCCAGCCTGCTGCTAACTGATTGAAGGCAGAAGACAAAGTCAGGCAATGTTGCAGCCCAGATTTAGATAGTTTAGCTGATACTGGACAAGTCAGATCAGTGCTTACATTAACTGAGACCATAAGATCAGAGTAGCCGCCGTCAGCAGCCCAGGGCAGGACTGTGGAGAAAGGGGAAACGGGGAATGCCACTGGGATTGAACTTTGCAGGAGGGAGGTTAAGTTACAGTGTGTGCTCAGCTGATAGCATCTAGCTGATTTCAAGGCTTGGAGACGGGCAAGACAAGTTTTACTGTGACGTGTATAAGTTGAGTTACCCAACTGCCCACCCAGATTGATATGAGGGTCAATATATGACTTATGAACTGAATCAAATGTCCACACTAAAGTTTGGCCTTTATTAGCTACTTCCCAGAAGAAACAAATCTTAGGGAGGAAAGGGACAAGGGGAGAGAATCAATATCATGTTTCAAATGCTGATTATGTCCCAGATATTTTATTTGTTATTCCTTTTAATCCTAGTGATAATTTTATTAGATGACCTGTTTTTCCATTTTACATATCTGAAAATCAAGGTGTAAAGAGGTTAAATAACTAAACTATGATCAAATAAATGCAACAGTAAATCAAGCCAGAGAATTCAAAGTCAATTAATTCCTCGTGGAAATTGTACTGGACTCCCCATAGAATAGCTTTTACTAAACTGTGCTCTTAGACAATGCCATTGGTCCCATACTGAGGTTATTATATACAACAAGCCATGGGAGAAATTTCTCTCTGGACTCAAAACCAGAAGAGTTATGCTTTAAAAAAACAAAAATGCCAGCTGGTTTTTACCTTAAGAACTTGAAATTATGTCACCACCAAAGTTTCTTTCTTTTTGCATTCTCTAGAAAGTTCGGACCAGATCTGTAAGGCCTCTTCCAAGTGTATAAGGCTTCATGGCAAACCTTTTGTACACTAACTCCATTGTTGCCATTTTCCTACTTTTATATCTTGTCCCTCTATTCTATGGCTCATTTTTTTTCTCAATTGTAGTCTATAATCTAAGGTAAAGTTCAATAAATTTTTCCGGTAAATGGTCAGATAGTTAATATTACAGGCTTTGCAGACTATAAGGTCTCTATTGCTACTACTCAATTCTGTTGTAGAGTGAAAGCAGCCTTATACAATATGTAAATAAAAGAGGGTGTTTATATGTATAGACAAATTTGAATTTCATGTAATTTTCATGTGTCATGAAATATTATTTTTCTTTCCTCTTTTTTAAAATGTTTAAAAATGTAAAAAACATTCTGAGCTTGTGGGCCATATAAAAAGAAGTAGTGGGCTTGATCTGACCCACAGGTCATAGTTTGTCAAGCTCTGATCTAAAACTCAAGAGAACAGGGACTTTGGATGACTTATTTATTCCTATGTCCTGAGCATCCAGAATAGAGCCAGGTATACTGTCAGTACTCAACAAATACTTGTAGGATAAATTATTCTTACCATTTTAAGCTTTCATATTTTGCTATATTGTGAAATGCCTTAAATTATTTTAAACCAGGATAGAATATATGTACATAAGGTACACTTTTAGAAGGTCATCTAGCTACAAAGGAGAGCCAGGATTTAGACCCAAGCCTTCCTGACACCCAAGTCCATATTTTTTTCCATTATACCATACTATCTTCACAGAATTATGTCCCCTGAAACTCCCTTTGGATTAGCCTTAACCTCTCAGCATGGGTCTCCATATGCAGTAGCCAATTACATTTTCAGGAGTCAGTCACATCTTGAATTTATAATAATTTCAAAAGTCCAAAGTTTTATGGAAGTGGTGTCCATTTGTACCTATTTCTCCCAAACTGGAAAGTAAGAAAGGAAAGACAATGGTTCACAAACTCAAATCTTCTTATAGGAAGGTGAAATGATAATTCTGCCTAAGCAAAAAGAACACAGACTTTGACACCTGCCAGGAGTGGTAAGATTTAGATCCCAGTTCTTCCAGTTACTAGCTGTGAATCTTTGGCAAGTCACTTATCTCTAGGAGTCTCAGTTTCCTAATAGAAAAAAAAAACAAACAAACAAGAATAACACATTCTTCATAGGAGGATTGTGAGGATAAGAAATAGTATATCAGCACTTAGTACAGTGCCAGGTAGATACTTAATAAATGGCAACAGCAGCAATATTAATAAATCATATCATTATTATTCATTTATTTTATTAATAACAAATGCCTACTATGTGCCACCCAGGCATTGTTCTAGGCACTTGGGATACAGAGGCAAAAAATCCCAGCCCTGATGGAGTTTACATTCTAATGATTACTGTGAATGGTTTTATGGTCTTACCCACCATTCCAATATTAGTGATAGTAAACTGGAACATATTTCCACTTAAATATATCTCCAACCTCAGAAGGATCTCAAGGTGAAAAGTATTTGAGCTCAGTTCTGGTTCCCAAGGGATTCCCAAGCACTTACCCTCCTTGTGGTGAGCCAGGGGACGGGGAGCTGGTCTCTTTAGGTGGAAAGAGGAGGTCTTGATGGGCCCAGAGCCTGGCATGGGTCCATTGGTGGCCTTTGGGGTGACCTTAGCCCCTCCATCCTGTAGCCTAGAAACCAACTTCCCCATGTCCATCTCCGGGCAGGGCTCCAACTTGCCATCTGCAACAGGCCGGCTTGGGGACTTCCTCCCAGGATCAGCTTCCCCACTTCTCTGAATAGGTAGTCTGGGGTGCTGCGGCAGCTTAGGGGGCTCTATGCTGCTGTTGATAATACCATTGGGTGTTTGATGTTGGATTTCATCTGGTAAAAGTCGGTGCAAAGAAGGAAGGTTAATGAGAACCTTTAAAGCTTTTCCATTTTGATACATGCATACATACTTTAATTTTGAAAATGTGTATATATTTTCAAAAGAGCTATCATTGTGGCACAAATCAATTATATCCCACAAAATCATTATCTGCCCTCCTCAGTTAATGCAAAGCCACATGTCCCATCCAAATATGAAATTCAATTCAAGATCTGGGTATGATTTTCACTATCACAATTCAACAAACGACAATAAACTAAGATGTTTTATTCAAAGGAATCTGTAATCAAAAAGGACTTAGAGTCCCCAGTCAATAGCATATTCTAGTCTTTGTAAGTAAAGACATCAGTTAATTCTTGACTGTTTCTCTCAAAAGTAACTTGTTAAGGTCTCTCAATATTCAAATGAATAATCATAACAGAAGTTAACTTCTTTCTTCACCCCCCCAAAAGAAGTCCTCGACTAGTCACTTTATGTCCCTCCTCCAGTTTTTTTGTGGTCTACAATTTTCTCTGACTTTAATATATGCTTTTCACTGGTTTTGAGTCTTACTTCAAACCTTTGAGATCCTAATGAGAGCCAGAGGGCTTCTCCCTAGAAAAATTAACCTATACAAATATGGTCAAAATTTTGAAAACAAATTTTAAGTGATGCACAGAGTGACCTGAAGCTGTCAGTGAACCCCAGAATGAGAATGCCTGCTGGATATAAACTGTCACCTTCTTTAGTAATATAAAACCTAGGTCAGAAGGCAGTGGTTAATAACAGCAGTTTTGGCCAGAAAAATAAAACCTGAGAGATAGGTGTATCAACTAATTACAATACATGGATTTTACTTGGATCCTGTTTGGACTTTTTAAAATGAGATAATAGGAAAATTTAGACACTTACTAGATAATTGAGCTCAAGGAATTACTGTTTTTTTTTCTTTTAGGTATGATGACAGTATTATGATTTTGCTTTTAAAGGAGTCCTTATCTTTTAGAGAGACATACTGAAATATTTACAGATGAAATAACATGTCTAGGCTGGGGCAGTGGGTAGGGGTATAGACGAAACAAGATTGGGTGTGTATTGGTATATGTTAAAATATGAGGTGTTCATTATGCATTTGTTTTCAACTTGTTTGTTTGAAACTCTCCATAATAAAATATTAAAAGAAACATAAGCTCTGGGGCCAGGTGTCCAGGTCTGAATCTCACTTCTGCTTCTTACCAACTGTGAGACCTTGGGAAAATTCCTTATTCTGTCTGTACCTCAAATTTTCTCCTCAGTAAAATGGGAATAATGAAGAGGGCCTGTCTCATGGGGTTGTAGTGTGGATTACAGGAGGTGGTATACTTATTTCAGTCCTTGGCACTGACATTCAATAATCGGTAATTCTATATAATCAATAACCATTAATTCAATACTACTATGAGGCAGGTGGGCAATGAGGCAAGAATTTCCAGGTGGGAGGTCTCGCTGTAAAAACTTTCTCCCTCCAGACAATTTTCTTCTTCTTCTTGGGAATATGTCACTAATCACTGTGGCCACTACCAAAGGGGATGGAACCAAGGGGAGTTCCCCTGTAGTTTCTCTACTTTGGCTCCAAAATAAATGCATGGCTCTTCTTTTATTAACCCTAGTACAACTGCAATCAGATTAGAATAGTCAAAAAATTACCAAAGGTTCACAAATAATGTCAGAGACATCAACACAAGAGTACCAAGTAATTAGAGCTTTTGGTTTCCAGGACATGCCTTGTGGCAGAGGCCATCATTAAATATCTAGCACCCAGGAGTGACCTCAAGCACATTTATCCTCGTCAAACAATGAAGTAGATGGTGACATGAATTCCTTTTGCCCACATGTTTTAGCCTAACATGTCAGTTGTATGTCTGTATCTTAATACTTTCTTCTTCCAGTTGAAAGACCCTAGGAAATTCCATGCCTGCTCTCCTTTAGGGGAGGAAGCAGGGGTTCCTTGTGCTCTCCAGGCCATCACAGTATCATCATCATCTCAATATAGAGTAAAAGGTCCAATTGTCATAAAGTTGGTCCATAGATACAGTCTCAGAAAGGCTACAACCTCCCACTCAGGAATCTTCTCCAGGCTCATGAAAAATAGGAGATGGCATAATAGGAGCAATGGTGACTGGAGAGCTAGGCCTTTCTGTCAGGGAAACCATTTCTAGGTTCTGGGATATACTGAATAAAAATAATGATAATAGTGTCAATGATAATAATAATGACAATGATAATAATGCTAATGATAACAGATACCACTATTTGAGCACTTAACCTGTTCCAAGTACTTTGCATGGATTACCTCATATAATCCTCAAAACAACTGTATAAAGTAGTAAACTCTTATTAGCCCATTTTGTAGATAAGGAATCTAAGGCACAGAGAGACTCAGTGTTACAAAGCCACTAAGTGGCAGAGCTGGTTTCAAATCTTGAAGTCTGTTTCCAGAATTCATACTCTTTCTGAAGAGAGGGCTTTTTGCTCCTGTCAAGTAACGAAAGTTCAGTGCTGTCCCCTTTCCCTAACCAACCATCCATTTCTTTAGAAAAATATTCAGACCAGCCTCAGAAGCTGTGGAGAACTGGGAGTGAATCAGGATCAGAGCCGCAAAGGCTTACAAATAGGCACATGGGAAACTCTTAAGCCTCTCTCCTATGTGTAGGTGAGTGGCAGGGAAAAGTCTTGAGAGATCACATACTAGTCTAGTAGGAGAAATAGATAAATTATTACAATATAAGTAGATTCATGCAAGTAAATGGTAGGAGGAAGATAGTACCAATACTATCTTGAAGGACTAGAGAAGGTCTTATAAAATAGGAAACTTTTGAGCTGAGCCTTAAAGGATTGCATTAAGTGGCCTTAAAGTGGAAAGGGCATTAAGACAAAGAACAATTTCGAGGAATGGGAGATCACAATTTATCTATGAAAATGTAATAGAATAAAAAATTTACTTTGACTCAAGTATAGGAAACAATTTCAGATGAAAGGTGAGGGTAGTTGAAGATGAAGTAATTAAAATAGGTTGGGGCTATATCATGAAGGTCATGAATGCCATGATTAGGAATATGAACTGTATCTTTGGGCCACAAAGGACAATAACTTTAAGGTGGGGGGAGCAAAGAAGTGGCATTATTAAATGTGCATGTTTAGAATATCCCCTTGGTTTCATTACAAAAATAAGATTAGACCAGAGGAAGACCAGCTAGGAGACTGCTGATGAGAAGGATCTAAACTGGAGCAGCATCAGAAAAAAGAGACAGATTAAAGAGATGTTAAAGGGGTGGAATGAACAGGACTTAGATACGGAAGTGAGGGAGTCCATGATGATGGGGGAAAGAGTCACTGAAATACTATATACAAAAGGACTAGTAAGTTTGGGAATACAATAATGAGAATCTACTGTAAAGAACACAGGTGAGCAGGATTGTTTCCTTATTAGAACACTATTCAGATAGGTTATAGGAAGTACAATACTACAATAAACAAATGATCTTTGGGATAAGATAGATGGGTACAAATTTCTGTTCTCTCATTTAGTAGCTGTGTTAATTGGGAAAATTATTCACTCCTTCTGAGCATCTAATACCTTCACTATAAAATGGAGTTCAACATACCTACCTCACATGGGAGTGCTGAGGATTAAATGAGATTATGGATTCAAACCCAGTTAGGATGGTTAGAATAAAAAGACAGACTATACCAAATAGTGGCAAGAATATGGAGAAACTGGGACCCTAATTCACTATTGGTAGAAAAGTAAAATGGTACAGCTGCTTTGGAAAACACCCTGGCCATTCTTCAAAAGTTTTAATATACAGTGACCATATGACTCAGCAATTCCTTTCCTAGGTATATACCCAATATAACTGAAAACAGATATCCACAAAAAAATCTGTGCAAGAATGTCAATAGCAGCATTATTCATAACAACCAAAAAGTGAATACAACCCAAGTGTCCATCAACTGATGAATGGAAAAATAAAATGTGGTATATCCATACAATGGACTATTATTTAGCCACAAAAAGGAATGGAGTACTGATACAGGATACAACATGGAAGAACTTTGAAAACATGCTAAGGGAAGGAAGTCAGACACAAAAAGACCACATATTGTATCATTCCACTTATATGAAATGTTCAGAATAGGCAAATTCATAGACACAGAAAGTAGATTAGCAATTGCCAGGAGGTGGGGTAAGGAGTGAATTGAAAGGTATGGGGTTTCTTTCTGGGGTGATAAGAATGTTCTCGAATAAGACGGTTACAAAAAATATACTAAAACTATTGAACTGTGCAATTTAAAAGGGTGACTTTTATGGCATGTGAATTATATATATTATAAGTTTTTAAAAAGTTAAAATAAAAACACTGTCTAGACTGGGTGACCTCATTGGAGATCATCTGGCACAAGGCCTTTACCACACAAAGGGGCAAATTGGGGCCCAGAGAGGGAAAGTGACTAGCTCAAGTTACTCAGAAGGCTAGTGGCTAAGAATAAAATTAGACCTTTCATCTGCTGACACCCAGTTCATTCATTTATTTGTTGCACAGATTGAGGACTTACTATATTCCAGGTTTTGTGCTAGTGCTAGGGATATAATGTGAATAAACAAGTTTCTGCTCTCATAAACTTTATATTTGGGGAGACTATAAATAAACAAATAAACAAATTTATTCTGTAAAAATGAGATGATGGAACAACACTGTTCCCTTCTACTTTCTCCTGAATGCCAGCACACCATCTCTATGAAAAAAGTGATCCCCTAAACTAGGTGATCCCTTTCTCTTCATTACTCCTTATATACCCATCATTCATTCTATAAATATTTACTGAACACATAAAATATTTACCAGGAATTATTCTAGGGACTGGTGATAAAATAGAACATATTCTAATGGGGAAAACAGATAATAAAGATGTGAACTAACAGTAACAGGTGCTATAAATAGCAAAAAGCAGTGTAAAGGGATAGGGAGTGACTGGAGGAGAAGGAACTATTTAAGAAGGGTGTTCAGAAAAAGTATCTGTAAGGAGATGGCATTTAGCAGACATCTCAGTGAAGGAGTGTGCCTTGTGAAATTGTGGAGAACCTTCTTTAGGGCCAAGAGAAAGGCAAATGCAAAGGCCCTTAAGTAAGTCTGACATATGTAAGTAACAACAGGACCAATGAGATTAGGGCAGAGAGAGCAAGAGACAGTGAGACAGCAGAGTTCAGAAATGAAAGTCAGAGAGATAAGCAAGGGCCACATACTACAGAATAAAAGGTAAATTATATTCTAAACACGAAGGGCAGTCACTGAAAACTTGGAGCAGAGGGAATGAGGTGACTTGATTTACATTTTTTAAAGGATGTACTTTTTATCAGCTGGAGGGGAGAAGGAATTATAGGCAAACAAAGATACCAGGTAAGAGATGATAGCAGCTCAGCAGTGATGGTAGCATTGAGCATTAGTAGAATTTAGCATATAATGTGCATGTAGAGCTGACAGGAATTGCCAATAGCTTAGATGTGAGGGAAAAGGAAAAAAGAGTAATTAAGGATGATTCCAAAATTCTTGACCTTACCAACTGGGTGACCAGTGACGCCAATTACTTAGATGGGAGAGACCAGAGTGGGGCCAGATTAAGGAGGAGTAAGGAATCAAGAATTGTGTTTTGTACATTTTAAGTCTGAGATGTTCATGAGTCATCCAAGGAGAACTGTTGAACAGGAAATTCGATATGGCAATAGATGGACAATATCAGTCCTATAGATATAAATTTGGAAATTATCTTCAGCATTTAAATGATATTTAAAACCATGAGACTTAATGAGATCAAACAGGAAAAGAGCATGGATAAAGAAGAGGGCTGAGAAAAAAGCTCTAGGACCTCCAACATCCAGAATTTTGGAAGAAAAGGAAATCCAGTAGAGGAGACTTGAGATGGATTGTCTAATGAAGTGAAAGGAGAACTTGGTGTTCTGAAAGTCAAGTGAATAAAGTGATCCAAGAAGGAAAGGTTAGTCAACTGTGTCAAACGCTACTCACAAACTGATTATGATGAGAACAATGGGATGGCTATTTGGTATCCTTGACAAAAGGATATGCAGGACTCAGAAAGGACTAAGGTCCATTTAGAATGGTTGGGATTTCCACACTAGCAATTATTCCACTGAATGACATGTATTTGTTCACATAGCTATGTCTCTCTTTATCCTCTGAAGCCAGGGAATGTGTCTTAATTTCACCTAGCACCTGTTCACAGTACTTGGCACATAGCAGTTATCCAATCTATGTTTGTCATATTTGAATTTAAGATGTCAGAACAATAAAAAAGCACCTTGCTCACCCATTTCAGTGTACTGGGAGCATAGATCTAAGAACATCATGACAGCTTCCTTTAAAAACGCAACTCCACCCTATCTACTGTCAAAGGACTAATTCCCTCTTTGAACACAAACTACAAACTCTGGCTGCGTTTAAGCCCAAGAACCAGGAAAGATCTACTTCAGTATGGAGGAAAATGGCCACGGTTTCACTTCTGCCCATCAATATCCTCTTCATGTATAATCACCATCAGAAGCTAAGAGTGAACCTCAGTACTGACCTTCACTTTCATCCAGGGAAGAAGTATAGAAAACTGTCCTCTCTCGCAGCAAGCGCTTCGAAATTGTTATTGGTTTGTGCCTTCTTGCTGTCAACCGAGGCGGAGGCACCGGAGGTGCAGCACTTTCCTCTGGTGGACCTAAATAGATCTGTGGAGAGAAAGGAAGATACCCAGAAAACAATTAGATCAAGGTTTTGTCTTCCTAATGCAACCTACCAGTGATGCCAGCTGGCCTTACATCTGGAGTCCATCACATGAATACGAATATAACTTAAGGAAATGGGATAGCTAAAGCAGCTAGTGTTTTTATATCTCCTACCATGCTCAAGGCATAGGATCTGGTACTTCTCAGTGTGGAGGAAAGAATGCAGATAAAAGAATGCAGCATGAGTCCTGGATTTTCCACTTACCTTCCAGGAGACCTTAGGCATGTCAATTCTTTTCTCTGAGCCACAGCTTTTATATGGAGTACCTCACAGGATGTGTGGTAGGAATTACATGAAAAGGGTTGTCCAAGTATGGGTGTATGGGTGTATGGGTGCAGGTAGGATATGGAAGGAGAACAAACACACTTACATGCACATATATACCAGGGGTGCCAAAAAATGCATACAGATTTTAAGAGATGTCTGCTATAATCAGAAGTGTTTGAAGTGTCTGACGGTAACGACTTTGAGCACCTCTTGAAATTGCAGAAGTCAAATGTGACTTGTATTCATCCTATTGAATATTACAATGTTAATAGTTTCTTCCTTTCTTAAAATATATATACATTTTTTGGCACCCTCTGTATATGCACACAATATTTCTAAAATAATACGAAAGAATCTGGTTACATTGTTGGTCTAAAGGCAGGAATAATGATTGGTTAGGAAGAAAAGGGATGAAAATTATTTTTCCCTTCCTCTATCATTTTTGTTCTTTTAAAATTTAACACTATGGCGCATTACCTATTCAGAACAATTATAAGTAAAATAAAATTAAAAAGCAAAAACAAAGTGCCTTGGATGCTAAAGGGAATGCAGAAATCACTATAATTAGAATTTTTATATAAGGGGGGTATCGGCCTCGGGCTCGGTGGCTCAGCCTGTAATCCCACACTTTGGGAAGCTGAGGTGAGTGAATTGCCTGAGCCCGTGGGTTCGAGACCTGCCTGGGCAACTTGGTGAGACCTCATCTCTAGAATAAATTTTAAAAAAACAAAAATTAGCCGGGCATGGTAGCGCGCACCTGTAGTTCCAGCTACTTGGAAGGCTGAGGCAGAACAATCGCCGGAGTCCAGCAGGTCGAGGTTGTGGTGGCCAGGAACGGCCACTGCACTCCAGTCTGGGCGACAGAGTGAGATTCCAACCCCCCCCAAAAAAGAGGGGGGTATCAAAAAAAAAAGGAAATATCTTTTGGAGGGCAGATTCCTTGTAGTACAGACTTCCTCTGCTAAGTAAGCATTCTAAGAACCCACAGACATCAGTGTACCAGCTAGTGTTGTGAGAGGCTGCGTGCAGCTTCAATGAATTTTTTTTTTTGTAGAGATTCACTGTGTTTGGCCATTTCATGATGGGTGATTTACAAATGCACCTGCCCACACCACACTGAGTCTTCAGCAATTTTTAACCAAAAGCAGCGTGACCCCCATGCCTCATCCTCCCTATTCACTTGATCTCACCTTACGTGACTTTTTTTTGTTTTACCAGATAAAACAATCCTCAAGGGGAAACATTTTGCTGATGTGAAAGAGGTAAAACAAACAAACAACAACAACAGAAGCACTAAAAGGCATCAAAACTGACGAATTCAAAAACTATTTTGAGCAATGGAAAAAGCATTTGACAGGTGTAATGCATCTGAATACTCTGAAGGTGACAAAAATTTAAACATGTAAGAATAAATACTCAATTTTTTATTTTAAAAAGTGCTGGGGTTTTTTGGATCCCCAAGTATACTGTCTCATGTGTATTTAATGATCTTCCATTCTCTAGGGAGATGGACCTTTCTGCCAGAGTGCATATACTCTGGGATGGCACACAAATGGAGTAAAGGAGGAAGGGGGACCAGTGTCCAGTCAGTGAGAATAACAAAATCTACCCCAAAGATTAGCGTAAAGAGAAATGTCAAAAACTAACATCCTATCAGGCAAGGGTCAACACAGACTACACAGTCATGGAAATTACCCTATTGGGAACACAAGGCAAGCCTGTATAAAAGCTGGGCAATGATAAGGAACACTGTATGAACAATCACAAGCCATGAGCACATGTCAAATGGTTGTAAGGAAGATAGTATATGACATAGCAACAAGCAGATGAGCACTGAGGTCATATAGTTCTAGGTCATATTCCTGGTTCCACCACCACTAGTAACAATATTCTAATGAGATACCATTTTGTGAGCATCTACTTAGACACTGCAGCAGTTGTTACAAATATTCCTTGCTATTCCTCAAACACACCATGCCTTTGCACTGACTTTCTTCTACCCAGATTGCTATTCCTCTAGAGGATATCTATATAGCTTGCTCTCTTGATTCCTCCAGGATTCTTATTAAATATACCCTCTCAGTAAGACCATCCAGGTTAATGTATGTAAAACTTTGACATTTCTCCCTCTACCCCACTCAACCCTCCCTAACTCCTTTCATTTTTTAACATTTTTTTCTCTTCAGCATTTCTTATCTTATTTTTAGTTTGTTGTCTGTCATCCAACTAGATTTTAAGCAAGTCTGTCATGTTCACCACTCTATCTCTAGCACCTGGAAGAGTGCCTGGAATCACCGTGTTAAAAGGCAAATACATTTAAAATTCTGATATAAAAGGCCAAATTGCCCCCTGAAAATACTATAACATCTACGTCTTATTCCAGCCAAAACAGGGCAAAGGAACTAGTTTTACACTTTCAGCCTGAAACAAATAAGAAGTGAAAAAGAAACCTAGGAAAATTACATGCAACAATGGTTTTCAAGGTATTAGAAATTCAGTAATGAAGGACAGTGATCTCTAAGAGACAGGAAAATCAAATGAGGTGAGCCCTCTGATTGTCCCAGCTTACAACATGCAAAGAGTTGTGCAGGCCACAGTGCATGCAAGGGAACCCAGGTGAAATCCAGCAGACTCCCTATGTTGAGAAGATATGGGAAAAGCAAGGAAGCAAGAGTTTGTAAGGTAGAGTACCACAGAGGAGACAGTTGCACTTATGCACCAAAAGCTTCAAGACATTGCTGAGAAAAATTAAGAAAACCTATATAAACAGAGATATATTTTGTTCACAGGTACGAAGACTCAATATTGCTCCCCAAATTGACCTACAAATCGAACACAACCCCAACAGCAGTAAGCTTGTAAGTGGAAACTGACAAGCAGATTACAAAATTTACAAGGAAATCAAAGGACCTAGAATTGCCAAAACAATATTGAAAAAGAAGAATAAAGTTGGAAGACTGATGCTAATTGATATCAAGTCTTATTATAAAGCTACAATAATTAAGACAGGGTAGCATTAATGAGAAGATAACTGAATAGATCAGTGGAATAGAATATAAAGTCCAGAAGTAGATTCCCACATATACAGATGAATGGACTTTTTTAAATAAAGGCAATTCAGTGGGGAAAGATGACAATGGTGCTAGAACAATATGATATCCATATGCAAAAAATAAACTTCAATTTTTATCTTATACCACATATAAAAACTAACTCAAAATGAATCTATACTCAAATGTAAAAATCTGAAACTACAAAATTTCTAGGAGAAAAATATTTGTAACACTGGGTTAGGCAAAGATTTCCTAGATACAATGAGTCATAAAAGAAATAAATCAATAAAATTTCATCAAATTAAGAAACTTGTGTTTTTCTAAAAGACGTTGTTTAAAGAATGAAAAGAAAAACCACAGGATAGGTTAAAATATTTTCCAGTCATATATCTAATAAAGAACTTATATCCAGAATATATTTTAAATTTCCCAAACTTATATAATAATAAGACAGTAAGTCAGGTTGTAAAAAGTAGTCAAAAGATTTGAACAGATACTTTAACCAAAGAAAACAATTGGCAAACATAAAAAGATGTTCCTCACATCTTTAAAATAAAAAAAGACATTCGACTTTGTTAGCACATTAGGAAATTTCGTTAAAACCACAATGAGATACCACTATAAATCTATTAGCATAGTTGAAATTTTAAAAAGACTAACCTCACCATACTTTTTTCCCATTCTGTGGATTGTCTCTTTACTCTCTTGATGGTTTCTTTTGCTATGTAAAAACTTTTTAGCTTGCTAAGACCCCACTTGTCAATTTTAGATTTTGTTGCATTTGCTTTTGAGGACTTGGCCATAATTCATTGCCTACTTTCATGTTCAGGGAGGTGTTCCCTAGTTTTCTTCTAAGATTCTTATAATTTAAGGTTTTACATTTAAGTCCTTGATCCATTTTTACTTAATTTTTGTATATGGTAGGGGTTCAGTTTCATTCTTTTGCATGTCACATCAGTTTTAAGAGTGTCTGTTTCCTCATAAATGTTTGCTTAGCAAGAATATCTCTATATTAAGAGCATGAAAATGTTTGTCTAAGTACTATTTTCTACTTTTCATGTTTAGATGTATGTTCTACTTGGAATTTATTTTTGTGTGTGGTGTGAGATACAGATAATTCTACCAAATGAATAGCCAATTTTCCATATTAGATTTCTAGTATAAAATTTCAAACTACCCCAAATAGGCTTTCCTAAGCAAAAAGGAAACATAGGAACTATCATGGAAAATAATGGTAATCTTGACTTACAAACATTATAATTTTTTTAAGGCAAGAGAAATTATCATTAAAAGTCTCAAGGTAATCAATAATTTAGGGAAAATATTTGCAACATTCAAAACAGACAATTAGTTAATATCAAATCAGTAAGAAAAAGACTAACAGCCTAATAGAAAAATTGGCTGGGGGGGATGGGATTAACAGTAGCAAACATCTGTCTGGGGATGGGAAAACACCTCTTATCAACAGGGTGCCTGAATAAAACGTAATTGTACACCTAATCCTTAACTGTACCCCACAAAACCATAATAAAAAATATTGATTAATATAAAAAAAAGAAAAATTGGCAACGGCATTAAAACAGACATACAAAGAAGAAGAAAATTAATACTTGTAAACATAA